TTTTAAAGCTCCTTTTTGAACTCAGGATCTAGTGCACTGGTGAAGTCTGTTTCATTATTTGTTCTTTCAGGGGATTTCTCTTGTTCTTTTAATTGGGAGTAGCTCCTCTGCCTTTTCATTTTACTTAACTGTTTCTCCTAAATTCACAGAGACAGAGAAAGGTGTCTACTGTGGCCTTAAAGGGGTGTTTTTTTCTTTTAATTTTACTTATTTATTAGCTTTTGGCTGCGTTGGGTCTTCATTGCTGTGTACAGGCTTTCTCTAGTTGCGGCGAGCGGGGGCTACTCTCCGTTGCGGTGCGCAGGCTTCTCATTGCAGTGGCTTCTCTTGTTGTGGAGCACGGGCTCTAGGTGTGCGGGCTTCTGTAGTTGTGGCACATGGGCTCGGTAGTTGTGGCTTGTGGGCTCTAGAGCACAGGCTCAGTAGCTGTGGCGCACGGGCTTAGTTGCTCCGTGGCATGTGGGATCTTCCCGGACCAGGGCTTGAACCTGTGTCCCCTGCGTTGGCAGGCGGATTCTTAACTATTGGGCCACCAGAGGAAGTCTCTAAAGGGGTGTTTTTATGTGGGAGTGTCCTGTGTATTCTCTGTGTTCAGTGTTTTTGGTGCAAGGACTGGTTTTGGTATAGATGCCAGCCATGCTTTTCCTAAGAGTGTGCTGGCTGTTTTCCTCTAGACTAAGGGGGAGTGGTTGGTGTTGTAATGTCTAGAGCCTGTGCTGGATGTGAGGTGGGGCTTCCTCTTTCCCCTGCGGCTGTCACCACCCTGTCAGTGGCAGGGTCTGCTGCCCAGTTGTTGGCGTAGAAGCCCTGAGGGTTGGGTTTGATCAGGTTCCCTTGCCCTTGAGTGTGTGCCCTGCCCCAAAGGTGATGCATGTGCCACCTGTGTAGGCATCCGCGGTTCCGCTTAGAAGCAACCCAGGGCCACGTCTCTTTCTCTGTTGTGTTTGTCCCAGATCTAGTGCTAGGCTGTGGTGTGGAGTGGGCTGGGACTTGGGGTCGGGGCGTTGTGCCTGCAGGACCTGAGGTGGCTTATCCCTGGATCTGTGTGCCCCAGGTCTGGCGCTAAGCCTCGGTGTGAAGCGGGGGGAGCCAGGGCGCTCTGTCTGGGAAACAGCCGCTGCCTGCGCCTGCGCGCTTCCTGGGCCTGTCTGCCCAAGATTCAGAGCTCAGATGCTGCGCGTTCTTGTGGTGCTGCCCGGTGCGCGTGCTGACGATGTCTGCCACGGCTGGACCGCCAGCCCGGAGCAAGTGCTGACAGTGGTCTCGGTGGCTCTACCTAGGTCACTCCCCAGGCGCCCCAGTCTGTCTCTGTGTAGCTAGACTGAATCTTTGCCCAGATCTCACAGCAGGCGTGAGAGTGGACAGGAGTGGGCAGGACCTGGTGGTTTGACCCTTCATATTGGGAAGTGTGCTGAGGCGGCAGCCGCCAGGTCAAGGCTTTTTCTGCCCTGACTGTTAGCGTGCCTGCAGGCGTGCACACTCCTCGCGAGTAAAGTCTAGGCTTCTCCAGCCCTTCTGTCTGTCCCAGCAGATTTCCTGATAGGCAAGGGGTCTTGTCTCCTCCTTGCAGGACCCCAGGACTGGGACGCCCAGATTGTGAGTCAACCGGTTCACTCCTCTGGGCGAGGGTCCACCCATGCGGACCTTGTTTCCTTACAGATCTCTCCCAGGAGTACAGGTCCCGGCCTGATGCTTTTTTCCCGCCCGACCCAGTTACATGGAGATCTTTCTAGCAGCTTTGGGTGTATAGGATTTCTTCTGCCAGTTCCCAGTTAGTGTTCTGTGAGAATTGTTCCACAAGTGGGTGTATTTTTGCTCTGTCTGTGCAGGGATTGGGGGGTGGGGAAGCTCTATGTCCTCCATCTTAATTCCCCTCCTCAAGGCAAATGTCTTTTAAGAATTTTTTTTTTTTTTTGCGGTACGCGGGCCTCTCACTGTTGTGGCCTCTCCCGCTGCGGAGCACAGGCTCCAGACGCGCAGGCTCAGCGGCCATGGCTCACGGGCCCAGCTGCTCCACGGCATGTGGGATCTTCCCGGACCGGGGCACGAACCCCTATCCCCTGCATCGGCAGGCGGACTCTCAACCACTACGCCACCAGGGAAGCCCTAAGAATTTTTTTAAAGTGTGTATGTAGAGGGGAGATGTCAGAAACTAATGAATTTATAAAGGAAGAATAAATTAATGAATGGACATAAATATATGCTGACAACAATTTATAAAAGGAGAGAAATGTGTTGTATATACATTATTTCTGTAAGAGCATAGTTACATCCAAAAGGTTCTTTCACAGTTTGTATGTGGCACTGAGGTTAATAATTTCTGCCATTTTAGTGGATTTCTTTTGCCACGTTTGCTGGCAGAGAATTGGATGTAGTCACTCTTGGCTTTGGAGTTCTGAGAAGGCTTTTCTGTTAGTGGTTATGCAAACATTAATAGAATGGGAAGACCAGTATCCGGTCCTTCTGCTGCGTGGCTGCAAAGCGCATTCCAGAGTGAGATGGAAGGAGGTCAGCTCGCAGGATTACATCTTCCCAGTTTAGAATCAAGAAAACAGCAAAGATGGTAATATTCTCAATCACATTCACTAAAACTCTTCTCCTTTTTCCTCTTACTTGACTTTGGAAAATAAGCAGGAAGATTTTGTTGGCTATTGGAATGAAAGTGAACTGGAGTACAGGAGAGAGAGATATATTTCCCAAGCATTCCTAAAGTGACACAGAGTTGAGACAGAAGAATATTCTCTGGGGGAGCAACGTAGGATAAGGCCATCTTGTTCAACACTTCAGGAAAGTTTTTTTGAAAGCTTATGATAAAAAAAATAAATGAAAGAAATGTCAGTTGAGAAAGGAGTCTTAAAAGGCTGTCACTGTAATTAATACACGAGGAAGGAAAAGCACAAAGACCAGCGGGTCAGCTAGGCTGGGCTCTGAGCTTGTGATCAGTAAGCTGAAGGGGACTAACCTGCCATGACATCTCTGCCCTCAAATAGGGGCCAAACAGTGAACAGGCTTTGCAGAAATACGGGCATCACATCCCTGTGTCATGTTTTATAACTGTCTCTCATTTTCTTTAGACAGAGGTTACTGAATCCTGCCATGAAAAGAAAGTATGCATCAGTGATGCAGCTGAACTCCTTAGGTCAGGTCTCAGCCTTTGCACGGGATCTATTGAGCACCAGCTTGTGTCGTGTTGTGCTGTGTATGCAGTGAGTGAGTACAAAGGATGACAGCAACACCAGAATGGCCTAGAAATCTGGGGAAATGGGGTGTTGGGATCATGGAAATTTCTGGTTGAGAACTGGTACTCATTCCTGTCTCATAGGGGAACAACCCTTTGTTCTTATTCTGTAATGTTACTTATTACAGCTTTTGTAAAATTTACTGGATCCTGGGAGACAATTCACATGTTCCCTGTAGTTGGAACAGACATTATTGGCAGGCCATCCTACAGCTATTTCCTCCTGTTCTCTGCTAATAGAAGTGGCTATGCGTCCAGCCCCAGGGACTGAATCATAGTTGGTTATACTAATCCTATTCTCCTTTGCCAGTGATTGGTCTAGGGTTAGGCATGTGACTGAATTCTGGTCAATGAAACATGAGGTGATACTTAATGTGGGGTTCTGAGGGAAGGTTTTCCTGCCTAATAAGAGAGAGACTTGAGGAGGAACCCTATGCTGTTGCCAAAGATAAGAGGCTGTTGTGTGAGGCCTGATACTTGGAGCTGCTGCAGCCTTTTTGTGACCTTGAGGAAACAGTGTTGAATAGGAGGATGTCAGAGATGTTGAACTACTGAGCTAGCCTTGTAATCATCTCACTCTGGTCTTATAAAAAATAAGGCCTATTTGTTTAACCCAGTTGTAGTCAGGTATTCTGAGTTTATAACCAAAAGCATCCTACAACAGTTAAAGGTATGGGCTTTGAAATCACACATACATATGTTTGAGTTCCAGATCTACCATTAGTAGGCTGTTTGACATTGCATATAAGTTACTGGGTCTTCCTGTACACGTGGGATAATAATAATCATACCTCATATGTTAACTGTGAGGACTAAATGGGTCGATGCATAGATATTGATAGCATACAATACGTATTCAATGAATGTTATTATCATGATCATTACCTCTGTGTTAAGTCATCAAGGAAAGCCTAGGGAGGTGGGCAGAACTGGCACTTGCTCAGGGCATTGGATGAGGGTTGGAAACAGCATCATCCAGGGGAGCCCATAGGAGTGAGGGGACAGCAGTGGCTCCTGGAAGGGGAGAGGTAAAGACCTTGATTCTGTCTCAGAGCTGTCAGCGCATCACTCTGCCTGGTCGTTTTTTTTTTTTAATGTATCTAATTTATTTTATTTTTGGCTGCATTGGGTCTTCATTGCTGCACGCGGGCTTTCTCTAGTTGTGGCGAGCAGGGGCTACTCTTCAATACTGAGCATATGCTTCTCATTGTGGTGGCTTCTCTTGTTGTGGAGCATGGGCTCTAGGCATGTGGGCTTCAGTAGTTGTGGCATGCGGGCTCAGTAGTTGTGGCTTGCAGACTCTAGAGCACAGGCTCAGTAGTTGTGGCGCACGGGCTTAGTTGCTCCGCGGCATGTGGGATCTTCCCGGACCAGGGATTGAACGTGCGTCCCCTGCACTGGCAGGCGGATTCTTAACCACTGCGCCACCAGGGAAGTCCCCTGCCTGGTCATTTTGAAAGTACGATGGCAGAAAGTGTGGTTCAGGTCATACACAAGTCATATTCGGCCAGCAGATGATTTTGTAGGCCCACGCAGTGTTTTTAAAAGTTGTATTACTTATTAACATTTTTAAAAGGCAAGATTCCATGTAAAATCTAGATCTATCTCCGATCTTCTTACAATGATTTTTTTTTTTTTTTGTGGTACGCAGGCCTCTCACTGCCGTGGCCTCTCCCGTTGCGGAGCACGGTCTCCGGATGCGCAGGCTCAGCGGCCATGGCTCACGGGCCCAGCCGCTCTGCAGCATGTGGGATCCTCCCGGACCGGGGCACGAACCCGTGTCCCCTGCATCGGCAGGCGGACTCAACCACTGCGCCACCAGGGAAGCCTCCACAATGATATTTTTAAAAGAAAGCCTCTATTTGTTTAATCCACTCATAGTCAGGTGTTCTGATTTTGTAATCAAAAGTATTCTTGTGGATAAAGGCAGGGCTTGCAGGTGAGACATAGCCGGACCTTGGAGAGGGCAGTACAGGCTCTTGCTCTGATATTAAACCTCCAGTATGCAAGTCTGGCTCTAACACGTACTGAACTTGGACAAATCACTTAACTTCTAAGCCTCAGTTTCCTTATCTTTAAGATGAGGTTAATAGGAATTACCGTCTCATAGAACTGTGAGGATTACGTCAAATAAAGGATGTACGATGCCTAGGACGGGTAAGTGAGTTCTAAGTGCTGGCTTATGATGGTTATTCCTCACAGCATACAGTTGGCTGTGGCTGGGACGATCAGGCCTAGGGGTCTTACATTTTCCTTGCCAAAAGAAACAGAATGATTTCAGTTTTCTCTACCAAAGGAAAAGAATCGGCAGTCTTCTGTGACCTGAGTTGGAGGAGAAATTTTCAGGCGGTAAGCCGAAGAATTTCTAAATTTCTTGCTTTTGGTGAGCCTCCTTCCAATTTTACTGACGCAAAAATTTGAGTAACAAGAGGCATGCCAGCTGTTCGGTGATGGTGCAGAGTTCTGCTTCTTCCAGCAGAGGCCCCTTGTGCACAGGAAATGAGGCTGGTGGTGGCTGGAGGGGACCCTGGGCCAGGGCACTGGTTTCCCAGAAGCTCCCCCAGAGTAAAGCAGGGAGGGGAGTCTAAGGAAGAGCTTGTGGGGACCGCCCCCCACCCTCCACCCCCGTCCCCTGTCCAGGCTTCAGAGAGCTGGATGCCAGTGTCCTGGAATTCTGGAGTCTTTCTTGAAAGAAAGAGACGGGGAGAGAGAAGGAGAGAAAGAAAGAGGGATGGATAGAGGGAGAAAGCGGGGAGGAGGGAGAGAGGGAGGAAGGAAGGCAGCGGCTTTGTCTAAGCTCCAGGGCTCAGAGGCAGGGCACCCGTGGGGCTGATGATCCCAGGGGTCAGACCTGCAGAGAGACTCTTTCTGCTGTCTGCCTTCCAGTTTATTTCGTTTCCCTTCATTGTTGCTACCTGGGCAAAAGGGCATCTAAATGATTTTTAATCCCAATTTAACTGCTACGGAGCTATGAAAACTTGGCACAAAGCCTCCAGCATAGCTGATTGATAGAGGAGAAGTCAGATGATCTCTTAAAAGCCACGGTGACGAGCGAGAAGGACTGAAACCGTGAGTTACTGAAACCGTGAGTTACAGCATGGTTTGCAGAAAGGCCCAAACTTCTGGTGATGGGGGGAGCGATGGAGGGTCTTTCCTGGTCCAGCATGGCCTCTTCTGTCTAAGGCGGTGGCCCTGTGGGTGACTCGCTGGCCATACATTCTTTCTTGAAGCTTTAAACCTGGAGTCTCTTTGCCTTCCAGAACTAAAACGAACGGTCTCTGGTGCATTTGCTGTGTGCATATGTTGATCATCATTCAAGACGTGCTTTTGGTGAGGGAGGAAAGCAGTCGGGGCCAGATGGTGACTCTGACCTTCCCAGATCAACACTGGGAAGGAGAAGACGGCTAAGGGCTGCTTTGGCATCAGGCTGACTTGCCCAGTCGTCCATGAGCACATAAATACTTCCTGAGCATGTATGGCCCCGTCTGTGGGAGAGGTAAAGTCACCCCTGGTGCTGGGGCCCAGGCGGCGATGGAAGGGGTGCAGGGGGTGGTACTTAGGAAGGAGACGGGAATGTGTCTTTTGGGCGGCCCTGCTCGGGTGGTGGTACCTGCCTGTGGAGCTGCGGGGGGTCTTCACAGGGATGTGACTGCTGATCCTTTGGGCTCTCTGGGCCAGGCTATGAGACAGGATTCCGCGTTAACACGGTGCCCCTTGGGGAGCATTTCGGATGCCCTGGCTTGAATTTTGGTGGGATGGAAGGGACACAAGGAAATGGGCAGAACCAGGCAGGGTGTGGAGATGAAGCTTCTGAGGGCTCCAGAGCCAAAGAAGGAGAGTGAGGCTGAAGGAGGCTGGGTAGGGAGAGAAAACCAGCATGGCTCTCGCGGCCCCTCTGGGGTTCATTTGCAGAGACTAGCGTGAGTGCCTCACGTACTGAAGCCGCCGAGTCCTTTGTTGATGGGATGCCCGTTTCCCACTGGTGTACCAGCCTTCAGTGCCGGCACCTGGGCAGCTTCGCCTGCCCCTCTTGGGCACGTCTGTGCCACCTTGCCTTTCAGAGCAGCCGTGCGGTCCGTGATTGCCTGTGGAGAGAGGCCCAGGAGCACAATGTGAGCACTGATGGCTGAGTCCAGCCCCTTACACTAGACTGGGGACCTCCAGGCACCTCAGCATCTTTTTGTTTCTGTGGAAAATGGCAGGAATTACTCCCCCTGCCTGCTTTTTACCTCTCAGATTGTTATGAGAATAAATATTTGAAAATATCTTGTAAAAGACAGAATTCATGTTTACAAGTTTTGTTTTTATATTTTTTCAAAATTACGAAAGGAAGTTTATTTCAAAAGCAAAAGAGAACATTTACGTTTGAACAAAGTGACAAACTGGTTGTCCTGCAAAAGAAAAAAAATCATGGCATGAAGTTTCTCATTTAAAATTTTTTTTTTTTTTTTTTTTTTTTGCGGTACGTGGGCCTCTCACTGCTGTGGCCTCTCCCGTTGCGGAGCACAGGCTCCGGGCGCGCAGGCTCAGCGGCCATGGCTCACGGGCGCAGCCGCTCCACGGCATGTGGGATCCTCCCGGACCGGGGCACGAACCCGTGTCCCCTGCATTGGCAGGCTCAACCACTACGCCACCAGGGAAGCCCTTCATTTAAAATTTTTGAAGCAAAAATAACTTCAGTTGTGCATTCTTGCCTTAGGAAAGGGAAGGAAAACTGTAAAACAGGTTTGGAGAGAAAAAATCTCTCTCTGGCCAGAGAATAGACCTAGCAACATGGTTATCTGGTATCCGGCATCAACTCGTCACCCTCCCTGAGCTGATGCCATCGTATTCAAGGTTTCATCTCACCATCTTCAGCACCAACTCTGCTTCCTGAGTCCCAAGAAGGAAGCCTGGGAGATGGGATTGCTAGAATTCAGTTTCATCTGCTAGTCTTCTGCCAGTTCTCTGCAGACTGCAAGAAAGATGAACTTGCTTGTCCCTCTCCTTTGGGTGGGATCCCAAGCACCACGGCCCCTTGAAGACCTTCAGCTTTAGCATCATCATGCCCAAGGGCTCTTGCACGGCACTTAAGGGACTACAGACCATGGAGGCTGGAGAGCGCGAGTCCTCCTGAGTCAGAGCAGGGATAACAAGACGTTGCTGCGGTAGCTGTCCCTCCCCTCATCCTACCTGATCTAATACCCTTGGTCATCTCTGAGGATTTCCGTAAGAGAACCTGTGACAGTCCTTCCAATGCTGCTTTCCTTCTTAATCCAGGGAAATGATTTTGCCCTTGGTCATGGCCATTTACCATGATTGCAGGTGACTTTCAGAGTGAGTGGATGTTTGCACACAAGTTGGAACTCGAAGGAACTTCAGGTTCAATCTCCATCCTTTAGGTAAGGAATTTTGATTTGTGACAGAAACCGGGACCTGTTTGCCAAAAGCAACCCCCGTCCTGATACTGGGAACCTGATACTGGGAACAAAATCACATCACCCACGTAGGTAGCCTCCCAGCTCTTGGTGTGGCCATGGGACTAAAGTTTTTTTCCAGTGCAATGTGAGGGAGGAAGGAGCCCATTCTAAACCCCCACATGTACTTCTCCGTGCTCTCCCTTCCAGCTGACCGGACCATCACCCCCAGCAAGACCTTAGGAGCCAAGGGTTGGCGGGAGAGTCACTGTCAGCCTGGATCCCTTCATGACTATGTGGAAGAGAGACGCCCTACTCACCCCTGTCCCCTACTGCAAGTGTGGTTTATTGAAACACGTGAGTGGAGACGGGAGATCCTGTGGTTTAAATGCTTTATGTGTGCCTCAGTCTCCTCATCTGTAAAACTGCAACAAAGTTCTTACTTCACAGAGTTTCTGAACAAGTGATATGGGATAATGAGTCACCACTCACTGTAGAGCCTGGCAGGTGACAGATGCTCGAGAGATCTAGACCGAATACATATCTTCGTTCCTTGAGGGTTGTTGTGCTATCTTAATGAAAAATCATTTTGGAGAGAGATATCAACATGGAAAAGCTAATTGCTGGAGGTGAGAAAATGCTGTCTCAGCCCCTTCCTCCCTCTTATTCTAAGAAACTTTAACAATTTGTGGACCTAGTCACTTGTCCAGGGTAATGGAAGCAGGCTATTACAGACACAGTGGAATCTATAATAACGGAGAATGCTATCCATTTAATTTCACGCCCCTCCTCAGCACTTCCCTCAACCCCAAACCCAAGCTACGAACCTAGAAAACCCATGGACAGGAACTTGTAGTCTGTGGGATTGGTGGTGAAACAAAGCAGCAGCTATACTGAGGATTATAGGGAGGAGATGTTTTCACGTCGTAGGTGTTTAAAAAAAGATGGCAATTTGGATGATTTATTTAGATGATCTTTAAGATACTGTCTAGCCCTAAGTTCTGTGATCCTTAAGAAAATAGAAGAATTTTAGTTCCACCTTCTCTGGACTTCTGTGCCTCCCTAAGTCCATTACTTGTGGAAGCACAATCAGAAAGAAAATTCCCCCCAAAACACAAAATAAGGAGGAGAAAGAGATGTAACTAGAGACCTCCAGTCTATGAATAATTTATAGTTAAGCATCTTAGCCTGTTATTACAGGGGAAATCAAGTCATGTGGACATTTAAGCAACATATCTTTTTAGTGATACTCTGGGTTCACTTTGCATTTTGCCTGGGGTACATTATGACTCCATCATCCTTATACAGATTTGTATGGATTTTTTTCTTTCTCTCTTACATACAGGACTTCAGATATGGCTAAAGAATAACCTGTGGAATCAGACACACCTGGATTTGAATCTGGGGTGAGTTAGTTAATATTCAGATTATCTGTTTCCTCATTGTAAAATTGGGGTTAAATATGTACCCCATGGGGATGTCATGAGAATTATCACTAGAATTCATTAAAGCAAAGGGGCTGGCAAATAACAAATGCTCAAATCTGCCTGACTCCTTCCCCTCTTTTCTCCTGCTAAGATGCAGAGGGTCCGGTTTGTGGGTTTGTGGGGCTGCCCTCCGAGATGGTGCTGGGAATATCCTCGCCACATCCAACTACTGCAGGGGACGCCGGTGGGTAAATGAGTAGCAGGCTGGCTTCCTACAGCCAAAAAAGAAAGACTGCCGATCCTGAAAAAGGCTAGGTTATGCTTGCAGGGTAGAGAAAGCTCAAAAGATGACGAAGGTTCTAAGGGAGCTATTTTTATTTTATTTATTTATTTATTTTTATTTTTGGGTGCGTTGGGTCTTTGTTGCTGCGCGTGGGCTTTCTCTGGTTGTGGCGAGTGGGGGCTACTCTTCATTGAGGTGCGCAGGCTTCTCATTGCAGTGCCTTCTCTTGTTGCAGAGCACGGGCTCTAGGTGCGCAGGCTTCAGTAGTTGTGGCATGTGGGCTCAGTAGTTGTGACACGCGGGCTCAGTAGTTGTGGCTTACGGGCTCTAGAGCACAGGCTCAGTAGTTGTGGCGCACGTGCTTAGTTGCTCCGCGGCATGTGGGATCTTCCCGGGCCAGGGCTTGAACCCGTGTCCCCTGCATTGGCGGGTGGATTCTTAACCACTGCACCACCTGGGAAGTCCAGGAAGCTATTTTTAAATGGCTTCCTGCCGAGAGACAGCTTCCTGGGAAGGTTTATTTCAGGCCCATTGTAGCTTTCCACCTGCCTCCTGCATTCCTTCTGGTATTTTTCCCCATCTGCTGGTCCAAAATGAAAAACACTCCTTCCTCAGAGGCACAGACAGCGTTGGTAGCCTTTTTGTCTGAGCACCATGCAGAGGCTCAGGCCAGCGCTGCAATCTGGGAGGAGAGAGAGGAAGTTTCTGGAACAGAAGCAGGGCTTCTTATTAAAGTAGAGGAATGTTATTTTTAGTCTGGGCATGAGTTGCTTCGTTGTTCCTGCTGCCGTCAGCGTCTCTTTAAAGTGACCTCCTGGTGTGGGAATTGTTGGGCTAGAGACCTGGAGATGGTAACAAGCCAGCCCACACCTAAGACTGAAAACATCAGCCATTGTTTCATTTACTCCTGAATCTGCCACTGCGGCAGGCCTCCGCGTGTCAGCTGAGGCAGCGTGAAGGCTAGTCAGGTGTGACTCTGGCTGGAATCCTCTCAAAGCTTCACTCCCTCACACATCTGCCGGTTGACGCCGGCGTTGGCTGTGACCTTGGTGAAGGCTGTTGGTTGAACACCTACACGTGGCTTCTCCACGTGGCCACTGGCTCCCTCAGAGCATGCCTGGTGACTGGGCTCCAGGAGGGAGAGACTCGACCCAGGGGGACTGAAGTTGTATTGCATTTTCTTACCTAACCTTGGAAATCCCTTAGCATCACTTCTCCCCTTGTCACACACCCGGCTAGATGTACAGGGAAGGAACGTAGGCCCCTCCCCTCAGGAGGAGGAGTGTCCGCACGATACCGTAAGACCGGAGGCCTCGTCGTGGCCGCCTGGAAAATAGCTGTTTCTCACAGAGGAATGAAACTGGCGGAGGAATGGAGGCGTGGGTTTGCTGTTGGAGAATCATGGAGACTCAAGCTACTGTTTTTACTTTAAACGTAGAACTTTCGAAAACTGGAATACAGGCATTCCTCGTTTGATTGCGTTTTTCTTTATTGCGCTTTGCATATTGCAGGGGGTTTTTGTTTTGTTTTTTTTATCAATTGAAGGTTTGTGGTAACCCTGTGTTAACCAGCGCCATTTTTTACAACAGTATTTGCTCACTTCGTGTCTCTGTGTCACAATTTGGTAATTCTTGAAGTATTTCGAATTTTTCATTATTATTGTATTTGTTATGGTGATCTGTGATCTCTGATGTTACTATTGTAATTGTCTTGAGGTGTCACAAACCATGCCCATAGAAGACGGTGAGCCTAACCGATAAATGATGTGTGTGTTCTGACCGCTCCACCGAATGGCCGTTCCCTGTCTCTCTCCTTCTCCTCGGGCCTCTCTATTCCCTGAGACACGACAATATTGAAATCAGGCCAGTTAATAACCCTACAAAGTCCTCTAAGTGTTCGAGTGAAAGGAAAAAGTTGCACGTCTCTCCCTTTAAATCAAAAGCTAGAAACGAACAAGCTCAGGAAGGTATGTCGAAAGCCAAGAAAGGCTGAAAACGAGGCCTCTCGCAGCAGTTAGCCAAGCCAATTCCCTTCCGTTCTTGAAGGGAATGAAACGTGCTCCTCCAGTGAACACACCAAAGGTAAGAAAGCAAAAGAGCCTTATTGCTGATAGAAGATCAAACCAGCTACAACATTCCCTTAAGCCGAAGCCTGTTCCAGAGCAAGGCCCTCCGTTTGTTCAATTCTGTAAAGATTGAGAAAGGTGAGGAAGCTGCAGAAGAAATGTCTGAAGCTGGCAGAGGTTGGCTCAAGAGGTTGAAGGAAGGCAGGCGTCTCCATAACATCAGAGAGCAAGGTGAAGCAGCAGGTTATCCAGAAGATCGAAGATAACTGAACGAGGTGGCCACACCACACACCAAACTTTCAATGCCGATGAAACAGCCTTCTACTGGAAGAAGATGCCATCCAGGACTTTCATAGCTAGAGAGCAGAAGTCAATGCCTGGCTTCAGAGGACAGGCTGATTCTGTTGTTAGGGGCTAATGTACCGGGTGGCTTTAAGTTGAAACCAGTGCTCACTTAACAATTCCAAAAACCCTAGAGCCCTTAAGAAGTACACTAAATCTACTCTGCCTGTGCTCCATAAATGGAAGAACAAAGCCTGGATGACAGCACATCTGTTTACAACATGGTTTGCTGACTATTTTAAGCCCACTGTTGAGACCTACTGCTCAGAAAAAGATTTCTTTCAAAATAGGACTGCTCATTGACAACGCACCTGGTTACCTGAGAGCTCTGATGGAGATGCACAATAAGATTAATGATGTTTTCATGCCTCCTAACACAACATCCATTCTGCAGCCGTGGATCAAGGAGTAATTTCCACTTTCAAGTCTTATCATTTAAGAAATACACTTTGTAAGGCTATAGGTAGAAATTCCTCTGCTGGATCTGGGCAAATTCAATTGAAAACCTTTTGGAAAGGATTCACCATTCTAGATGCCATGAAGAATATTCATGATCCATGGGAAGAGGTCAAAGTATCCACATTCCTACAGGAGTTTGGAAGAAGTTGATTCCAGCCCTCATGGACGACTTTGAGGGGGCCAAGATTTCAGTGGCGGAATGAACTGCAGATGTGGTGGAAACAATAAGTAGAATTAGAGGTGGAGCCTGAAGATGTGACTGAAGTGCTGCAACCGCATAATAAATCTTAAAGGGATGAAGAGTTACTTATGGATGAGCAAAGAAAGTGGTTTCTCGAGATGGAATCTATCGCTGGTGAAGACTGTTGAAATGACAGTGAAGGACTGGTTTAGTGTGCCCCCAGCAGCTGGGCTGACAAGTCCTTTGTGGAAGAAGGATCTGGGTTGCACAGCACCTCATTCAAACACTTTTCATTTCTCCTCTCCCTTATTTTCAACCTCTTGAGTGAAGAGTTCAGCAAAGCTTCGTGCTGGAAGGCTTTTCAATACTTTATGCATCGCAGAGGCGTTGGGAACACACTGAGGGTTGAAGAGGAAACAGTTTTGCATGAGATGATGGAGGAAGATGAAGTGACACAGCCTAAATGAAATGAGCCTGGCAAGGATTTGACAAACCCAAAGCTTTCATCTCAGGTTGAAATATTTCTTTTTTTTTTTGCTCATTTCTGGATCAAAAAATTGATTCTAGAGGGAACTGTGAATGTGAGAACCAGGCTATGGAATGATCCCGTGATTATAAGGAATAATCTTAGAAAAATATTTGTAGAGATCAAACAAGATGAGCTCATCAATTTACTTTTCCTTTTATTATAAAAGTAAAATAAAAAATAGCATTTATAAATCCAACATTTTTTCCTTTAAAGTATTTGATCTAAAAAACATATTTACAATAGCAAAATGCAGCCAAGGGGGGAAATACCATTTTCAGGACTGATTGTAACCATGTTTAAATACTGGCATGTACATATTCTTTTTTCAAATCACAGAGAGAACCACATTAGGAAAAGCAGTGAGCTTTTTTTTTTTTTTTTTTTTTTTTTTTTTCAGCCACTCAAGCTTGCGGGATCTTAGTTCCCCAACCAGGGATCGAACCCGGGCCTCCTGCAGTGGAAGCACCGAGTTCTAACCAAAGGACAGCCAGGAAAGTCCTAATGAGCCTTCTTTTTTTTTTTTTTTAAATCACACACCAAATAACTCTCACTTTAAAATTCATAATCCTTAATCTGAATGCACAACTGTGCTATGGACGGCCAGAAGGAACACCCAGTAGGGACTGTGACAACTTTTAATGACAGTGGGGAAGCAGCAGAGGCACAGCAGCAATGAGAACAGAAAGCAGCTGGTAAAGCTCAACAAGCTACCGCACTCCCGAAGAGGCGTCAGCCCAGCCGCGGGCTGTGATCGTAGACGCTATCGGTAAGTCAACTGAACTAAAATTCATTTCGGAACCAAAGAAGAAATCCACGTTTAAGGCCTTGAATTACACCCAGCGCGATCCAAGCAGGCCGGTATTCCTCGGAGCACTTCGGATGCACTTCCTTCCTCTGGACAACGCGATGGAATTTCAGAGCTTTGGTTTACTCGGTGTTGGAAGCTGCCAGCAGGCTAAATTTTGCCTTCTAGAGGTCCTTCCTGCCCGTAATCGTGGGGCACTTTGTTAATAGTTAGCAAGGAGCTGCCGCTGGTCAGAGACTCTGTGAAGCTGAGTTTGCAGAAGGATGTCTCTACGCCGCTGTCACAGACGCTGTCGTCCCGGAACTCGTCTGGGGGGAGAAAGCACGGACTCACAGGGGTGCACGGGGAACACGGCCATCCCCGCTGGGCTCCCGTGTGTATCTGGAAGGCTCGTGGGCTGCAGAATTCTGCCTGTTCCCCTCCACCAGTCACCACGGGCCCACCTACGCCGCCCCAGGTGTTGCTACTGTTCACGGCGCGGGGGTGGGGGTGGGGACAGAAAACACTGAGCTTTATAAAAAGTGTGAAAATGTCAAAGTTAGCCAAGTGTTTTCACCTCTCTTTCTTATAATCTAGCCTCATGTTTATCAGAATCCTTTCTGAATTCTCTAGACTCAAAGTGTACCTTTTTTTTTTTTTCTTAGAAATTAGGTGTATTTTTTCCACGCACTGTATTACCTATTTTATAGCTGGGGAAATTGCTGAACGTAGGCAAAATAAATTGGTGACAGAAGTAGGAAATAAAAATGAGATCTCCCTCTGGGCCTCGTATGCTATTAGACACTATACATTGCCTCAAAAATATTTTGGTAGCCAAAAAAGTGAGTGATTTTGATGAAAATGAGCCTCTACTGGGCAATTAGGTCAGATTCTCCTTTGAGAAGTGTCTTGAGGGATCTGAGCAATGTGAATTATTTCCTACAGGGAGAGAGTGACCAAGGAAACAGAAGTCTACCGTACGCGAATCAAAAAGCTATCTTCTTGTATATTAAATTCCAGTGTTAAAACGTTAAGACCTTAATGGCAGGGGCATGGCTATTGTCATTGATTTATTCAACCCATCAATCTTTATGGGTTTCTGTTATGTGCTAGGAACTGTGAGGTATTTTAAAAATAACTACAAATTGAGGGCTTAAGGCTTTTTAAAATATAAGTATTCACCTACTTCTTTGTTTGTGCACACGGAGCGTCAGGTCATATGACAGGAGATGTGGGTGGTTTTCTGGTGGATACGCTATTCCTTTCTAAAGCGTGCACAACACCTGTCCTCACTCCCCTAGGAAGGGCCCTCCCACCCCAGCAAGGTGACACCAGTGCTGAAACTGAACGGCAAGAAGGAGCCCGCCAGGTAAGGACCTTTGCGGGGAAGGGGACGAGAAAGCTCAAAGACCCTGAGCCTGGATCGGACTAGTGATCTGGGGGGGCAGAAGGAACACGCGGCAGGGCAGGGGGGCAGGAGGAAGCACAGGCGAAAGCGATGTTTGAAAGAGAGAGCAGATAAAGCAGGGACACTGTCTTTGCTGCTCACTGACCCATCTTCAACGCCTGCAACACTGCTGGGTGGGCATGCCAGATGTGCTCAGTAGAGATCTGTTGAATGGCTGAATGAAGGGGAGGGAGGAACGTCATTTTTAAAAAGAATCACACTACCTGTTGTGTAGGGAATGGCCTGAAGGCGGGCGGAGAGATTGGAAACAGGGAGACTGACTAGGAGCTGCGGCAGGCATCAAGGCAAGAGATGGAGGTGGGCTGGGTGGGGGCGGTCGGGGCCAGCGAGCGTTCACACGCAGTCGCAACCTCTTGGAGGATAGCAGTGCTTGTGACCGCCGTGGCCAGCGCCGAGCCTGGCTGTGAGTGGGTATCAAGAGTCCTGGGCAGGTGAGGACAAGTAAGGAGCACCTAGGATGGGGCTCTGGAGGCTGCAACTTTAAAAGGTGAGTGTGGAGGTGAGTGTGCCAGGGGAGAGCCCGGAGGGGAGGCTGTCTGAAGAGCGGTCCCCCGGGATGCGCGCTGCGAGCGGATGGCGACCAGATGTGAGCAGACGCCGGTCCTCGTGGTGAGAGGGGCCTGGTGCAGGCACAGGGTGTCGAGGAGAGAGGAGAGGAGGTGGAGAGAAGAACGCTACAGAGTTCTTCCGGGAAGCCTGGCTGGGTAGGAGAACAGAGAAATCGGGCTGCGGCTAAAGGGGATGGGGGAATCAAGGGGATGTTTGTTTCCGTCTTCTTTTGAAAAGATGAGAGAAACTACAGCACGCTTGCGAGGGGATCTAGTCGGGAGGGAGAAAATGCTAAGGCATGAGAGCAAAGCGAGGGTTAGAGGAGCAGGACCTGGCTGGGCAAGAGGCGGGCCCAGGCGGGCTGGAGGTCTGATGGTGCAAAGATGAGAGAAGTCTAGTGGTTTCTCTGTTCTCGGTGGAGTGAGGCGAGGACACGGGATGAGTGAGGAGTGGGAAGGGGTGTGGGCAGCGTAGGAGGAGAGAGCATGAGAGAAATGGTTGTTAGGGCGGGAGAATACATTTGAAGGGAAATGGAGGACTGTGGCGCTGGGAGTCCATTAGGGCACGCGTTCTAGGTGGGGTGACGGGGCAGCGTTGTGGACGCGGGGGGAGGCTGAAGGGAGGAGAGACAGGACCACAGGAGGGGAGCCTGGGCAGCGGTGGGAAACATCGCAGCGTCAGTCCACAGCCTGGGGTGCTAGTCCTGCCTCCACCGACCCGGGTCTGGACGTTTCTCTCTCTTTCGTAAATTTAAGCAGTGAGAGAAGTAATGCTGGCCTTCACCGCCTGCAGCCTGCTGTTTTGGTATTTACCGTGAACCTGAGCGACTCGGGTGCCCATGTGGCTGTTGTGGGGACAGCCCCTCCCCTGAATGGTAGCGTCCGGAGGGGAAGACAGTACAACCTATGGTCCCCGAGGGAGACGGATGTAGCGGACGGCGTGTCCGGGAGGTGGTGGTGGGGAGGACAGACCACAGCCCCAGAGGCTGAAGGCGCCAGCCTGGCAGGGCGGGGAAATGTCTCGACTGCTTTTTCAATCCTTTTTCTTTACCTATTTGCTGCCCTGTGGAAGCAGGCGAGAAGGGCAGCGAGTGGGCCTGGGGGGCAGCCTCCACCGGGCTGGTGGCCGCACTGCCCGACGTGCAGTAGGCTGCTTGGATCACTTCAATGGCTTCGGTGTAGCCCATCTGCCTCAGGGCCTCCACCAGCTCTTTTATTGTCCCCCCAGAGACCTGCGAGACAGAAATGAAGAAAGAGGATGTCTCTGCGTTCAAAGCTGTGCAGGGACAAGCAGGCAGGCTGTGAACACGACAGCACGCCCCTTCCCCCGAGATAGCCGGCAGCCTGGGAGGTTGCTCTCAGGGCAGAGAGCAACTCAAAGATACGCGGTCTTTGAATCAAGTTTCCTGTTTCAGCTCAAAGACCACTCAGGAAATCACGGAGAAGCACTTTATAGTAAGCAGAGAAGGTGCTGAGGCAGTAAAACTCTACCCAGAGTGAAGTCTACCCCATATCCCTGAAGCTCTGGAAACCACTGAGAAACGAGCTGATGATGAACTTTGCCACAGAAAGTAATTTCACCCCATGTTTTTCTACCTTTTCGTTTTAGAAAGGAAAGCATCACCAGGTAATGGCTCCGCAAGGAGTCACGTCACTGGTTCCATGTGCTGACATGCGATCAAGGCATGTTCTTGGGGAGGGCAAGGCATGAAGGTTGATTACAGTCTTTCGTCTTTGTTCAGCGAGATCAAAGTTCTGTGACCATCCTGACACTCTAAGTAGCATTTCTGCAGCAAGTCTCAAGGTGTCTGAAAACAGCCAAGGTGGGTTTCCTGCTGTCCTGGGTCAACCCTCCCAGGACACGGGTAATGACTGATTTTCTACCTCAGAGTTAAGGGAGAAGGAAAGGGATTATGCTCCGGCCAATGGTGTTAACAGAGCAAAGTCAAATAAACGTAGTCAAAGATGTAAGACGACGTGTTACCTCGTAGTTGTCCATGAGAGTTCTGGAAGGAGCAGGACTCAGCCGGAAGGCATTATTTAGTATCCCCAAACCTAATTTCTGTGCCAGAGTAGCCCAGTTTTTGTCTGGATCAGGAATTTCTAGCAACTTGTAGAGCTGCAACTTCGCATCTTCAGTCAGCTGTTTCATGTCTCCTGAAGAGAATAAAGAAGAAACACAACCGTCCTAACCGACCAGAGACGCTCCGGAGGGATGGATCACTGCCACACCGCTCACCCTCCCGCCCCGGGGAAGCAGTCACGTTCCTTCACGTGGAAGTCGGCAGCAGCCCACGCTGTCGTAATTTACAGCCGGACCTTCTCCGTGGCGCCCCTCCAGGGTCTCCTGATTCTGAGAGAAGCCCCTGTGCCTTTCACAGCACACCCTGACCCCCCCCCCCTTCAGTGACAGGGTGGAGATGACACTGGCTCAAAGAACCCGCTTCTCCCACAACTCACCTTGTGCCAGTAAATCGTCAGATGTAAACTCTGGCTCATAGGGTTTCCCATTTAATATGTCAAATACCTGTTGGGAGGAAAAGCACGGGGAGATGTTGCACGTTACAGGGACCATGAGGGAAATCTGCTTCTCTGTAATATAAAGGACTCGGCGTGTCCTCCTCGGGAGGGGCCAGGACCCCAAAGACGGAGGAATGGGAAGAGGGGTCAGCACCATCGCCCGGGAATACGCGTGCCCTCTGGGGGGCTCTGGGCCTGGGAGGCTGTGCTCCACGGGAGCCGCCTGAGGTGGGGAGCAAGACCCAACCCAGCCTCACACAGAGCCAAGGCCACGGCCCTGCTGAGGGGCAGAGGCAGTCTAGGCCACCCAGTCAGCCACGTGTGGGTCAGCGATGTTCCCTGAGAGCTAGGGAGGGGGCTGAGCTCACGCTGAGCTGTGAAGCTGGGCTCTGCGGCTGCCCCTCCTCCCTAGTGAAAAGGCTTCTGAGAGCGAGTTTTACGAACGTGCCCAAACTGAGGTGTACAAACGCTCACAGGGCTTGGGGTCAGCCTCCTGGCACCATCCACGTTTTAACTGCGGGGCCAGAAAAGTCTTAGGTTAAAAGGGAGGAAAAAAACCAAAACTGCATAGCTCTGGGGGCTGTTCTGCGCTCTCTGCAGTCACTCGGTGGCTGGCTGACCTGGGCGAGGACCACATGGGGGTCACTGAAGTGGGTTATCTTTGTGTTCTGTGGTGAGGCTTCTGGGAAAACCAGGCGTTCAACGTAAAGAGAGCCGTGTGGTCTCTCCGCCAGCGTCACTCAGCTCAACCCACGCGGCCCGCGAGGGGCAGGCGAGCAGTTTTGGACAGGGAGCGGCACCTGGCCCTGCGAAGGGTTAATATTCAGCTGGGCCGCCCACCTCCTCCCTCTGGCTCCCCTCCCGGCGCCCAAAAGACCCAGTAACTGCTTTCGCCTTCAGATCTCAGGTCAGCAGAGTTCCGAGGAAAGCTTTAAGGCTGTTTACTTTGTTTACATTTGTGCAGATCCTCAGAAGAACCCCCATTTCTTTTTATGTTCAGAAATCACTTACCGAAGTTCAAGCCAACCGTAACAGTTATCCTGGCTTCAGAAACTGAGATGGGAACGACTGTGGTGTAAGTTCAGAGTGGGTAACCTGTAACGTGAATTTTGTGTTTCTCTCATCTAACTCTGATCTGATTAGCCATATACTTTTACACTCAGAACTCTGCTGACCTAGATCTTGCACAGATAGGCTTTTCAAGATAAATACAGCTCTTGACAAGCAGACTTTCTTAAAAAATAACAGGCATGTGTTTTGGGGAGTAAAGACTGAGGAAGGCCACCTGCTCTGACGTCCCTGGACCTGGAGCTCCCTCAGGAGCAGCCAGCACACGGGCGGAGCCGCACTCACCTGCCAGTTGGTGGCCATATCCAGAGGAGTGGTTCCTGGCAGGACTCCTTCATCCTCTCCATCCTCGTCCCAAGAGTCATCCAGGTTGTACAGAGGCTCAAAGTTCTCCACCAGGGGATCTGCTCCTGCGAAGTCAAGTTAACACAGCGTTAGGTAAACCCACATCTTGTCAACTTCTAACTGCCTGCAGGGGTCAGAGTCTATAAACAGATAAAACATGTTTATTTATAAGCATATAAAACACATTTTCTACTGAAATATCCAGAAACCTGCTTTTAAACTTAAAAATTTAAATTTAAATAAGTTCTAATGCATCTTGACTGTAAAGGTGACTGCAGATACCCCATATGGCCAAGGACACTTTCAAAAACAAAAGACCTGGAACATGCTGACTCTCACATTTGACGCTATAGGACAGTTTTCAAGTGAACGATGCATCTTTAACCTGAGGACCGACGGCAGCAGTTTACAGGGACCAGGGTGCACGCTCGGGATTAAGGTCCTAAATGTTCAAATTGATGCCCAGCGCCGCACGTTTCTCAGCCTCTTCACCTGCTGGCTCAAAAGAGCAAAGCTGCTGCTGTCTAGTGCCAACCTGTTCCGCTTTACTCCTGGGTACGGCACTGATCCTTAAACGCAAAATGCCAAGAAAACCTTCTGGTAGGATGTGGAGTTGTTGAAAAAGTTAGGGCCAATCTTGGAAAATCTGGTCTGTTCCTTAGCCAGCAGCGAGAAACACCTGAAGTAACTCAAAAATTAAGGCTAGAGTTAACTTCTCAAAGGCTTAGAGAGACTATTTTATTGCTGCCTGATGAACAGTAGGAAGTTCAGCACGCTCTCCTTTTGGAAAGAGGACCTTGTTTTAGTCTTGCTGGGAGGACGTTTGACTCTTGACAACTTCAATAATAGGGGATAATAAATAATAATAGAGATAATAATAATAATAATGAGAGGATCTGCATGCCACTTCTTACTCTGTTCTCCCAGCTGCAGCCTGATCTCTGGGGCAGTAAGTGTCACCCGACCACGGAAACAGTAGAGAAACTAGGATGAACAATTTGCAGGACCCAAGATGGAGAAGCTTAACTAGGTCTGTTCCTTAAGTGATCTTCTTCATGACTCTGAGCTCAGGACTAGGATTTTGTTTTTGTTTTTAAATTTTGTTTATTTTTGTCTGCGTTGGGTCTTCGCTGCTGCGCGTGGGCTTCTCTAGTTGCAATGAGCGGGGGCCCCTCTTCGTTGCGGTGCGCGGGCTTCTCATTGCGGTGGCTTCTCTTATTGCGGAGCCTAGGCTCTAGGTGCACAGGCTTCAGTAGTTGTGGCTTAGCGGGCTCTAGAGCACAGGCTCAGTAGTTGTGGCGTGGGCTTAGTTGCTCCCCAGCACGTGGGATCTTCCTGGACCAGGGCTCGAACCCGTGTCCCCTGCATTGGCAGGCGGAGTCTCAACCACTGCGCCATCAGGGAAGCCCAGGACTAGGTTTTTCTTCTGAGTTTCTTCATTTATATACTGGAGAAACTGCTACTTGCTACTCCTTTCATGGGATACTGAGAATTAGAGAGAAAGCATTCTTGGAAGGGTCAGAGCTTCTCGTCTGAAGGCATTTCTTAATTATAACCAGTGACTCCCCACACTATTCATCCACACTGCAATCATCGTCTCTTGTTCACGGGAACGTCAACTTGACAAAGGAGGAAAGAAAAGGCTGCTGCTTATTCGGGATGTGATGTCAGAAAAATGTAGTGCTGCCAAAGAAAAGGTTCTCATATTTTTCTGGCCTCAGTTTTTTTTTAGAAGGTATTTAATCTTCTCTTTTCTTGAATTTGTGAAGCATTTATTTTCTCAAAAAAATTTAATAACCTCTGAGGTAAATCACATAGGCCAGGACAGGCTTGAGATACCAATTCCACTAAACATTTTTTGAGGTTCTAAATACACAAGGCAGTAGAGATGCAAGGATGAGCAGGAATAATTTTTTCTGTATTTCACAGGAAGAGAGGATTGAATTGGAATAACACCTTCAAATCCTTGAGCAAAACAGGGGACAGAAACACAGCAGAGAGAATGGAGTCTGGAAGTTCAGGGTGACGAGGTGTGACTCACAGCTCTGCCCCTTACTGGGGCCCTGGGACCGGGATGCAGAAGTCTCTCTAGTCTGTTTCCTTGGCTATAAAATGGGGCTAATAATGGGCTTTGTCTCAAAGGGTTATTGTGGATTAAGTAAGACTAAATGAGACAGTGCGTGTGGAGTGCCTACAGCCCAACAGCCCAACAGCAGCTAGCGATGTTTAGTGCCTGGTGCGCGACAGTACTCAACACACCGCCCGCTTGTTTCTTCCTATTACTCTGGCTTCTCAGGGACCTTTCTTGCAAAAGGAAGTCTTTAAATCATTTCTTACCCAATAAACTTTTCCTTCTGAGGACTTGTGACATGACCTGAGGTGGATACTGCTCCGAGTTCTACAAGGAATTCGATTCAACGTTAAGAGCTCTTGTCATGGGAGTCAATGAAGACAGCCCACATCCAAAACAAACAGGTGAACTGGAGAGTAAAAACTAACGTGACTGTCAGCACGAAGCCCGGGACTACTAGTCCAAACAGTGCCTCTACGGCAGTTGAATGTGATTTGCCAGAGAACTTTTATTTACTTGTGCCTTTCTGCAGCGGGTCTGTGGCTTAAGAAGGTGGCGTGGCTGCTCTACTGAGGCTGGGTTTGCATTCCTGATGACATTTTCCATCACCGACCGCCAGGCTCCCTTACCTGCTGCCTTGAGAAGAGCTGCCAGCCTCGTGGACCCTCTCCCAGCTGCTATGTGCAGGGGTGTAGTTCCGTCATAGGTGGTGCTGTCTACATGGGCATCACCCTAAAATCCCCCCACACAGAAAACGGTTAGTCCAAGGTTCTCTCGCCCTTTTGTCCCCGCCTCCCCCTGTCTGCATGGCTCCCCGGGTCATATTACCAGCCCTGTTGCTATTTTGGGCAGGCTCTGCCATTGAAGAAATCCCCAGTTAGAAATAACCAGGCAAGGGATGCCGGGAGAGCCTGAGCTGCTATTCTGAAGCGTCGAGTAGATAGAGTAGATGTTACAAAGGTGGAGCAGAATGTAGGGAGATAACCTGTTCGCGACATCATTCTTCGAAAAGATTTCCCCCAATCCCCTTTGGGAATTGAATGCAAAGGCAGGTAAGCGCATCCTTCACCTCCAGGAGCAGGCAGCCAGCCAAGGAGATGTTGTCGTGCTCCACGGCCAGATGCAGCGCCGTGCGCCCCGACTTCCGCTCCTGAGCGTTGACGTCAGCCCCGGCGCCCACGAGCAGCAGCAGACACGGCAAGCTGTTGCTCATCATGGCCTCGTGAATGGCGTTCAGACCTGCAGCCCAAGCACAGGCACGGTCACGGGGAGGGAAGGCTGTCGGGGGTCAGCATGTCGAGTGCCAACAGAATCTCTCCTTCAGACAGTCTTTACAGGTGCTGTAAGTCAGTTATTCTGCATGTAAACCCAGACTCCTTTCACGTTCTCAGGAGACACTGAGAGCATATAAACATTCCCCGAATAACGGATGCTTTCTACATACCAAGACTGGTGTTTGCTCAGGCCTTTGCTTTTTCCTCCTACTGACTGCCTATTCCAAATCATCTTTAAAGGAATTAGCTACAGCCAGCAATGGAAATTTCCATAAGAGATGATGAATTCTAAGTGATTAAGGAAAGCACTTTGGGGTGCCAATCAAATAACACACATTTACCAGAGAGCTACTTTTTGTGTAGAAAGCAGACAGAGAGGGTTACACCATGATGTGTGACTGTCTCTTACCTTCCCCGTTGGGGTGGTTGATAAGTTGTGCTGCCTTCTTGTGCTTGAGTAAAATGCTGAGAATTTCATCGTGTCCTCCTTTGGCAGCCAGGTGCAAAGCAGAGTTACCCGAGCGGTCCAGAAGGGTGAGGTCGGCCCCGGCCCTCAGCAAGTCCTCCACCACAGCCTCCTGCCTGGTGATCACTGCCAAGTGCAAGGGTGTCTGGCGAGAATAGGCAGGAGATGACACTGGTCAGCGGCATACTTGTAACCCACAGGCTTATGAGCTGTGACTGCAATAGGTGGAGTCATACTGAGGGGCCATTTCTCATTCCCAGATTAACTTCTCACCTTTGCAAATGAGTTACTCTCTGTTCCACATCATATGCTAATGAAGTATTGGGATGGCCAAAAAAGTGCCTTTGGTTTTTAAAGTAAAAACCAAAGACACATTTTTCATTTTCGCCAAGAACTTTATTGAACAACGTATTCACCCTTTTGTTCCACTACCTTCTGCCATTTTTCAGGCAACTTCATAATTCCATCTTCCCAAAACTTTTTTTTTTTTTTTTTTTGCAGTACGCGGGCCTCTCACTGTTGTGGCCTCTCCCGTTGCGGAGCACAGGCTCTGGATGCGCAGGCTCAGTGGCCATGGCTCACAGGCCCAGCTGCTCCGCGGCATGTGGGATCTTCCCGGACCGGGGCACGAACCCACGTCCCCTGCATTGGCAGACGTACTCTCAACCGCTGCGCCACCAGGGAAACCCTATCTTCCCAAAACTTTTTTATCTTTTTGCACAAAGAACTGTTCCAGGTGCCTTTTACAGTCTTCCAGGTAACTGAAATTTTTTCCATTAAGAGAAT